ATTATTGGGTTGGCTAAAAAGTTCGTTTGTGTTTTTCCATAAGAAGCTCTAGTCGCACTTAGTTGTTTTTGACTTCATTTAAAACAATTATGTTAGATTGTATTGTGATAACTGTAATATCAGTGTGCATTTAAAAAAATATTTATAATTGGTGAATTTCTATGTAGCCATTTTAATAATGAAGGTGGAAGAAAATCAGCAACATTTTTGATATATTATGCTTTATTATTATTTCAGAAAGGTAAAAACACAACTGAAACACAAAAAAAGATTGTGCAGTGTATGGAGAAGGTGCTGTGACTGATTGAACATGTCAAAAGTGGTTTGTGAAGTTTTGTGCTGGAAGTTTCTTGCTGGATTATGTTCCATGGTTGGTTAGATCAGTTGAACTTGATAGCAATCGAATTGAGACATAGAGAACAATCAACATTATACCATGAGGGAGAGCTGACATATTCAAAATATCCAAATCAATAGTTATTGGTGAAAATGAAAAGTGTCTTTTTACGGAAAAAACAAAACAGGCCTTGGCTGGTGTGGCTCAGTGGACTGAGTGCTAGCCTGCAAACCAAAAGGTCACTGGTTGGATTCTGGGTTTGAGGGCACATGCAGGCAGATCCCCAGTTGTGTGTGTGTGAGAGGCAGCCAATTGATGTAATTCTTGCACATCGATGTTTCTCTCCTGTTCTTTCTCCCTCTCTTCCCCTCTAAATAAAGATAAATAAATAAAATTGTAAGAAAAAAGTTAACAGACTTCTTGACCAACAGAAAAAATACCTGATAAAGTGAAATCAGTTAAAAATAGAAACAGGAAAAATGTATATGAATGCTATAGAATGAGCTTCAAGACAAAATGATCTGAATAACTGGTTAATGTCTTTGGAATATTTTTTGTAAAAATGACCAACTCTGTGATCATAGTGTGTAAGTAAAAGTGAAATGGACATTATGTTGTTCATCTTATCATTGTTGGTAAAACTATACTCCATTGTCCCCAAATCAACACTATTGAATGAGCAGTTTCTTGTTAGTGTAGATTCTATTGTCACCTTTTAGAAAAATGTGTCTTTATGTATGTTTATCTGTATAAATGGATGTCAAATTTTTCCAAAGTGTGTTCTGCAGTACACTACAGTCCCAGTCATCTGAGGGAAAAGAAGGGAATAACAGTTGTACAGGACATTGTCTTTCTCTCTCTCGTCTCCCTTCTGTTCATTTTCCAAAGGGCTGATCTGTACATACTACAGGTTCCTTTGTCCCATGTCTGCCTCTTGAGTTTGGCTAAAGAGGGGAGCGGAGAGGGGAAGAGACCTCTAAAGGGGATGGGTTATCGGGTAGGTATTTATTTCTTGGTTTCTTCCTCTTGCTGGACTGCTACTAGTGCATTGGCTGTCTTTCTACTGAGGTCACAGCTTCAGTGAGTTGGTTCTCTGTTTAACTGTTCTCTACAGGTCTGTTAACTGCTCCCTCTCCCTTGCATCTTTAGATTTAGAGGGTAGCAATATTGCATTCTCCCTTGTTGGTTTTCTTCCATTAAATATTTCTCAATTATCCACTATGAGTGTACCATTTGTTTCCATCCAGGATGCTGATTTATACAATGGTTAAATATTATATTATCTCCTTCGAAAGATTACAAATTCAAATAAGCATATTAAAGGTTCTAATATAGCAGTAAATAATATCTAAGTTTAGCCTAATGTTTGGCAAACTTAATTATTCTTGGCACCATTCTTCTAATATCTAAAAACATCCCTTGAACATATAACATTCCTTGCTTTAAAACAAAGCCAAATGTAATGGTTTGTAGTGTTTATGACTAAGGATAATTATTAGCTGTTATCTGTCATTATCTGTGCTGTGTAGTACATCGATGACCTGTAGTATCTTAGATATTGAGGTATCTTGGATACTGAGGTATGTAAGCTGAAGGCTGTTAATCCATAGCATTGACATGTCCCAAATGGCTGTGCCTCTTGAATTTAGTTTTATAATCTCTCAGTATAAGGCTGACAAGTACAGTACATCTTACCCATTTGCATCTCTCCCCTGTGCTCTGCATTTTAACTGCCACCTCTAGTCTGGCAGGAAATCAAATTACCAGAGCTAGCTAAAGCTATATTGGAAATAAGATTAAATATACTTAAACACAAACTTATGAATCCCTAGTAAGTACGCTTTAGTGCCTACACTTCATGACATCTATTGTGGTTGCATAGGAACTTTGCCCCTCTATGCTTGATATTTTAGTTACGAGGGATGTTGCTGTGGATATATTCTTTTAAAAATAAATCCACTTTTAAAACTCTGATGTGGTAAATTACTAATGCAGTGTATTTCTGGCTTATCAGAACATGATACGACTGCATTCCCTATGCTGGGTGGTTTTGTGACCCGTTCTGTCCAATGACTTGAATAGAAATGTTATGATTAGTCAAGAACTTAAATGTGAGAAACCCCACCCCTGCCACCTCAAGGTTTTTTTTTTTTGGTCATAATTAACACTGTTTCAGAGAGATGTTCTATCAGCATGGGTCCTTATAATGGACATGAAGCTTAAGTGAGAAATAAATGTAACTTTCAGGTGGGTGTTTTCTTGTAGTCTATGTTGGCCTACCCTGATTTACTTCAAAAAAGGTTTCTCTGAAAAAATACAAGGTTCAATCTAAATGAATTTATAAAATCATATGGTATTTATGAAGTATTGAGAAAAGCAGAACTCATATGAAAGCTTTGATTACATAAAAGCTGATCACACAGTCATACTTGTGGATAGTCACAGGTTTAAATCCCTGAATTCTATCACTTATCAGCTTGTCATCTAACTGGAGGTGCAAATCCCTTATGTATAATAACTGGGATAATAAAGGATTACCATCAATTTATATGGGAGTACATATTAATCAACTGTTTAGTCTGGCAATATGTATTAAATTACAGAATTACTGTTAATCCTCCTACTCAAAATTTAATGCATACAACTGACTTAATTCACAAAGGCAAATATTCCCCTTAGCTTTCCTTGCAAGATTCTGCTTAGGCTATTTACCCCAAACATAATGCAGAAAGATTGTGTTGGACATTTCAGTATCAGGCTTTTTCATTTGGATATAAGGAGGCATATTCAAGGGATCAGGGGATGTATAGTATAAATATGTACAGCAACTAACTTCATTGTTTACAATGTAAAGAATTTTTGCTGTTCTTCCAGCTCATTTTGAAACCACACTGCTTGAAACTTGAGTAGAAAGCATTCTCTTACTTATGGAAAGGGCGCTGGGGTACTGCTCATTGGTGACCAAAATCTTATATTCTCTGCCACAGAACTGCATCTAAACTGCATTTAAAATAGACCCCAGAGATGGAGATTCTAAACCCAAGATGGGGAACCACAATATCCTTTTTTAGTGCTCCAGCTGGAAGGGGAGGAGACCAGATGTGATTGCATGCATGGGCTAGGTTGCTTCTAGACATGGAGCTGTGTGTGAATAAAAAAGTACTGTTCTAGGCTAATGGGGTGTTAGGAATAATGAAGGCTGTAGTGTACTGCAAAGTGGCCAGTGGCACTTTTCTTTCAACTAAAAGATTGCATTTTTGTTTTGTTTTAGTAGTCATGTAACTTACACATTATGGTTCCTATAGACAAACCTTGTCATCTAGTCACTATTTACATCATCCTATTGAGGGAGATTGTTGTCCAAAAGCCAGTAACCAAATTTTAGAACACCATTTGGTAACTTCCTATGAACAAGTTCAACTCTTATTTCTGCTTTCTTATATATAAGGAATCTCCCAGAGTCAGTATTCCTAAGATTAATCACATTTACAAAAGAAAGTATCTGGATAGAAAGCAAATCTCATCACTGTACAGATGAGGTTTATAAATTTTTAGCATGATATAGACAACACAAAATTGCAGAATGTTTTCAACTCAGAATGTTTCATTAAATAATGACATCTCTCAATAAATACAAACGCTGTTTTTATGGGCTATGTGATAATCATCATTTAGTAATCTACACAAAATTATCTTCTCAGGAGTAGGGTGTATTATCTCTGGCTGGTGTGTGACTCAGTGGATTGAACACTGGCCTGGGAAAAAAAGGATCGCTCGTTCAAGTCCTAGTCAGGGCACATGCCTGGGTTGTAGTTGGTCAGGTGCCCAGTTGGGGGTGCATGAGAGGCAACCACACATTGATGTTTCCCTTTGCCCTTTTACTCTCTCCTAAAATAAAGAGTAGGGTGTATTAAAAAAAAAAAAAAAAAGGAAAAAATTAGCCAGGTTAAATAATTTAGGTCCAACATATCTACGGATACCCGCTCCCCTTATCTTTTTGCCCTGCGCTAAGTTTCAAGAATGGAGTATATTAAGTGTTAAATTGCCATGAACAGATGGAAGTAAAATACTGAAAACACAAGGTATTGTTTTCTACTCAAATTTTGAGTCTTTTATTCAGTTGTAACTGCTATTTTAAAAAAGAATCAGACAAGGATATCTGATTTCAGTCCCTTTCAGATTAACATGAGCTATGTATGCAAAAAGACAAAATGTTTCAGATTTTGAAAGAAGCTTTAACATACTAAACCCTCTTGTGCCAAATACTTATGTTGAAAATAATTAAAAAACCTATAGTTATGTAATTATTAATTTGTAAATGAAAAAGCCAAGGCTCAGAAGTTGCCCCCAACCAGTTACTAATTGGTGGAATTGGCAAAAATCAAAGACTTCCCCTACTATATACTGTTTCTCATCAGTACAGTGTAGTACACAATAGTTCAAAGTTATCTAAACCTTTAAAAAGCCAAGTTTATAATGGAAAGCACTTTACAGTTCTCATGACCCTAACAAATGGCATCTATAAGCTTAGAATGCTAACTTCATTTAATCTTTGTTAAAAAAAAAGACAAACTTTTACTTCAAATGGCACTAAGCGATATGCAATTCAGTCTTACCGTTTTCTAAAGTTAACTTTAAGCAAAACAATGTCAGTGATGATAAATGCATTTCATTATTTATTTAGATGTTTAAGCTCTCGCACTAGACTTTTTACAAGCTGGTGAACACTGACAAATTATTTCTCCCACAGAACTATAACCACACATTCCCAGACAGTATAAATATATGGTTGAACTAACATTAATACACATCACCATTTTATCAATTACATAATAAAACAAATTATCAAGTATCCAAATATTAAGTTACACAGCTCAAAAGGCATATAAAATATTAGATGTCTGCTCAATTCATTAGCAGAAACCCACTTTTTTTTTGCAAGAGAGGGTGGGAAGGAAAAAAAAAATCACATGTCAAACAAAAGCTGGTAAACAGAATGTATGAAAACAAATATAATTTCAGAATTTTTATGATTAAGAATTGTTTCAGCTACAACAAAGCATCTCTACCTTTACCTTTAAAAAAATATTTACTAAAGAGCATTATTCTACATGTTCCACACAAGACAAAGGCAACATTTTACAAAAAATACTTAATAGCCCCCTCCCATTCTTTTCTCAGGCCCTCTCTGTAAGTTGCACCCCAAGTGCTAACATTAAATTAACTGTAAGGCTTTTGTCTGGAGACATTAAAGACATGTGCTTCTGTACAATGCAGATTTTCAAGATGGAGGCTTTCCATAACAGCACAAAATGGTATTTATAGAAAGACATAAAATAATCACTAAGACTTGGTATAAAAATCAAGAAGTTGAGCAAACCTGATGTATACTTGTATGAATGTGGGAGATGTAAACAAAGTGAGCAGGCAGATAACCATATAGGTCCTACTTTGTTTGAAATGACTGAAGGGATTAAACACATAAGGTCCAGAATGTTCATAGTTCCTGGGATTTTAGTTCTGTACGATACTAAAAATATACAAGTACTGTGCTGGACATTTTGGCACCTAATCTTTCTAAATCTCTCATATATTGATACGATTCTGGCATGGGAATAGATTTAAAGGTATAACAATACTGCATGATTTCAGAAAAAGTCAAATGGTACAAATGATAAGCACATTTTAAAGCTGAAGAGTAAGAATCTTTCATTAAGTGTAACAATAGGTTGATCGAAACCCAAACATAGAGGTGGTAATTCTGTCAAGCTTGTGGCCTGGTAGAACTGCTTTTCAGTATTCCTATGGAAGCTTCATTAGATTTATTTATCAAGCCAATATGTTGGCTAATATGTATGACAAATTAGGTCCTATCTCAAGTTCCACTTCCAAAGCAATGGCATCATGCACCCATTTTACTGAATGCAACAGTTGTTTCTATGACCATTGGAGTCTTTGAAGCGCAGCCGCATTTTAGGACGATACTTCTCCAAATACAAAAGTTGCTTGCTGTTAAAAGCTCCACGCCGCTTTCTGGAAGGAAAAAACAAAAGATGTAAGTAATTAAGGCATAATCCCTCCATAATAATGTTCACTGTGCTATAGGCAATTACAACCTCTCTAGTGGCAATTTATCTTTTGATTATTACACTGTGTCTTAATGCAGAAATATGGACAGACATACATGTGTAAATGGAATGCAAAAAAGAGGAAAGCCCCCCCCATTTTAATAACATTTTAAAAATGAATGGTCAGATTGGTTATTGAAAAAAAATTTGCTTTCATAGTAATATAATTAAACTCACTGACATTCAATGAAGAAAAAAAGTCATTAAATGCTTACTGTCTTATGAATTGTACAGCGTCTTCATATTTCATTCCACCTTCAATTAATGCTAGGGCAACAAGCACCGGAGCTCTGGTAAGGTAAGAATTTTGATAAAGCATTTAAAAAAAAAAAAAAAATCAAACCCTGGAAAATTCAATATTCTAAATATTTCTCAATACATATTCTTCACTACACTTCCTGTAAGTAATATGTATAGTAAATACTGGCTTTAAAGTACTAGTATTTTCATATCAAACCCAGGTTTTATCTGGAACCAAAAATGAACTATGATCTTAACTATCGTGAGGTTTACAAGTTAAAACTTGTATTACTGGAAGGGAATCTTGAAAATCTTTAGGGGAGATGGTACATTTTGATAATTACAGACATTTTTTTCCTGAAATTCTAAGCAGTGAAAACTATTTTCTACTTCAAAAAAATTTTGTTTTTAATTGTCATGAACTCCTTTTCTGAAGATCCTCTGGAAATTTGTTTTTTCTTCATTATTATCAATGAAACCGTGACACAATTGCACTACAAATTGCCAGGGCCATTTTGATTTTACTCTTCACCAGAGACCAGGAATTGGGGGGGGGGGGGAGGGGCAGTGAAGGAATAGCATGGTGGTAAGTGATTTATAAATCTGGATATGCACACATTTGGGCACTACTGGGTAATGAGGTCCTATCAAATTAGAATCTCTAGGATCACGGACCCTATCAAAAATACACCACATGCAAACTACCTTAGAGACAATTCCTTTTCCCCAATATAGCTTCGACAATGACTCCAATACCATGGATATAACCTAACACACAGGACATACAAGTAATTTTGCCCACAAAGCCAAGTATAAACTCTAACGATAGCATTTGTTAGTCCCAGCTATATTGGAAATACATTATTCTGTTATAATCACCTACTTTTAAATATAATTCAGTAAGTAACCCAACAAAGCAAATTGATTCATGAAGTGATATCTGAGTTAGTATCAAGTTTCTACTAAAATAAAGACCAGTACCATCAACTGGATTTAAGAAATTCTCTCACTGCCCTGGCCAAGTAGCTCAGTTGGTTAGAGTGTTGACCCAATGCACCAAGGTTGAGGGTTCAATTCCCAAGCAGAGCACATACAAAAATCAACCAATACATACAAAGAACAACAAATTGATGTCTCTCTCCCTCTGCACCACCCTAAAACCAATTTAAAAAAATTCCCTTACCTCCCAAGGCCTGCAACACAATGAACAGCAATACAACAGCCAGGTTCTTCACGAAACTTAATTTTTACGAGACCTAACCAGTCATCAACAATCTGGCTGGATGGTGGTGCACCATCATCAAAAGGCCAATCCTAAAAGAATATTTAAACGTTTTAGATTTTTAATATAAATACACTAATAAGTCTAAAATTTCTAACACTCAAATGTTTTCAAATGCACCAACATAAACATGTGTTTTATAATACCCAACTGTCAATGAAATACAAATAAATGCTTGATCTTTATAAAAAATGTTACTTCAAATCCATGGTTAGCTTTCACTTTTATTTTGAAATTCAGATATTGAAATTTTAACAAAACTTAAAAAATTAAGCTTTTTGAAGTTGATGGTTTATGTGAATACTTTTGTAGTACATGTAGTGCAGTATTATAAGCACACAGGAATTATTAAATACTTACAAGAACATGGATGCCTTCTTTCTCCACAAGAGTAGTGTCGTAAGTTGCTTCACATACTCTAACTATTGTGGTAACGCCATACTTCTTAAGTTCCTGGATAAAACATGCATTACAAAGTATTCAATAAAGTCTTCATACCATGTCACTATTGTCACCATTTATCATTTTGATCATCTCTCCCACAGGTATTGACAGTTAAAAATATCATTAACTATTTAACAGGGAAATGAAATCTTGTTTTAAAGTGACAACCAGAATAGCATAAAAGGAAAAAGGAATATTATAAAATTCCCACAGCCTTCATTTCATAGTCTTAAGTCATTTATACTCATGGCAACACATTGGATAGTTGGGGAACTAACAAAACAGTATTAGAAGCAACTCAGAGATAAAGGTAAACAGAACCAAAGGAATCACTCATGACTTCAGTGTTTAAGCTTTGCTCATTTGCAGTGCATTATGTAATTTAGAGCCTTAAAAAGTACACTAAAACCCCACATTAAGACTATAGGCTTCAATATTCATAATGTATTATTACTAAAATCTTAACTCTTCTGTCTTTTAAAAAATATATAGATGCCTAATTGTTGTTTCTGAGCATCTAATGAACATATATAAACTGAAGTATGTATCCATCTAAATTAATTTTTCAGCATTACATTCCTTTCTTATAGTCAAAACAGGTAGGCAGCGAGACAGTTTTGGCTCTAGCAACCACCAGGGAAAAGTACAATTAGTAACTGAAAATTGGATTGTAGGCATCAAATGGGGTCTAAGACATCAACTGTGGCTTATGATAATATTCAATTTGGTAAGCTGATATATGAACAATCCAAGTAAGTGGCAGCCTTAGGCCTATAAATTTCACATAAGCAAGAACCATGCTGTTACACTGTCCTTATACAAATTTTTGTCCAAATACAAATTTAAATTAAACAAACTTTTGAGACAAGAACAAGATGTTAACTTAAAACCTAAACTAAGTCAAGTACATGTCCTTGTTGAAACGTGTAAAATAATTTACCTTTAAAACCTAAGGAAGACACTGACATTACATTTTTGGAAATTGTAACTGTAGGCGTAGAACTCATAATTTTCCAAAATATTTTGTTAGACAAAAAACCCCACTATTAAACTGCAATCAGGTTTTTTTAATTTTTAAAGATTTATTTATTTATTTTTAGAGAATGAAGGGAGGGAGAAAGAGAGAGAAACATCAATGTGCGGTTGCTGGGGGCCGTGGCCTGCAACCCTGACATGTGCCCTGGCTGGGAATCGAACCTGCGACACTTTGGTTTGCAGCCCGCACTCAATCCACTGAGCTACGCCAGCTAGGGCTTAAACTGCAATCACTTTAAGAAATTAAAAAGTATCAAAACTTACCTCTATAAATTTGTTTAAGGTCGCATTGGTTGGATTGTGTGTAATAAGAAATCTCATGTTCTTGTACGTGACTTCCACAGGAGCTGGGCGATTCATTCGAGCCATGTTAATTTAGTTAAAAAACACTCAATGGAGTTATGAAATAATTTAAAAATTGAATACAGAAATGGTGCAAAGAAACTGAGTCTACTTCAATATACTCCACTTGAAATTCTCAGTGCTTTTGAGTATGAAGTTGGAAGTAATGGGAAATGAAATGAACCTCCTAACAAGAAGCAGCGATTCTTCAATCCAGTAATACTGAGGCAATAGAAAGGAAGTGCACTGAGGTTTACCCCATCCAGGTCAGAAATCTTGTAAAATGCTCTGCAGATTTCAATTCAACACTTCTGTGTCCAGGTTAACCACTCTTATGGGGGCTTCTTGGCGGAGTAGTAATGTATTTCTACAGTTCACTTGTCTGCATAGAGGTCGTGCTGTGCCTGGCAGTAATCTCCACTGCCCTTCAGAAACTCCATAAATGTGTGACCAAGAACACCACAGAACTGCTGTTTAAAAGAAAGAGAAAAGGTTGTTTTCCAATTCAAAAGGAACAGGTTATGCTATTTAAGTGTTAAGTATACAACTATCTTTTCCAAATTTGGGTCCAAGCTACCTTTTCCACTTTTACCGGAACTACAAAATACAAGGACAATTTCAATTTAATTAGTAGGCATAAAATAAGCATTCACAAATAAATTACTTCAAATTGAAATTACTGATCTAATGATCTAATATAGAGAACCCTTAAAGAATAACATGTGAACTGTCACATATGGTCAATATCCCTTACCCATATCCTTCAATTAGCTATGTCTTTTAATGGTTGGTTTTTACATTATAAAATATACATACAATTTCCTAATATTGATTTTCCCAAATATCACCCCATATTACAAACTTTATGGAAACTTTGAAGCTGTTAGTCTTCCCATAATGTATTAACTTTTTTCAAGGCTTAACCAACATTCTATTATCCTTTTGAGAAAAAACAAAATAGGTTTTCAAGATGATTCCATATACACTATCTCATTTGATCCTTAAAAGTTAATGAATTTGTAAAGTATTTTATGTTTATAAATTAAAACAAAAAGCATTTCCCACTTATAACCACAAATGATATTCATGGTTTCAGTAATATTCTTTATTTTAAAACCAAAATCTCACTTGTCCAGCCAAATCTAATCCAAAGGGTATAATAAAGAGGAAGTGATGGGTGGTAAAAATTACTTTGCACTTGTTTCATAGGTCTCAAAAGTAGGGTAACTACTACCATCAATAAATTCATTTATATTGTACCCACGTTTCCCTTAAAGAACGTAAGTCAGTTTTATGTCAATATAAAACATTAAGTGAATATTCACAGGTTAATTTCAGAATTTGTCCTCAAAAACCATCGATGTCAATGTAAGTTTTCTTCCAAGCAGTTTATCAAAATTCTGTGTACTCAGGAATAAAGAAAGGATTATTAATAGTAGGTTAACAAGAGCACCAAGTGCCAGCCACTGTCCCAGTTTATATACATTCTTATGGGTAACCGATCAAATAAAATAAAATTTTGCAACATGTTTCCATTGATTTTCTATACTCAAATGCAAGCATTTAAAAGACTTACAATTAAATTCAAAAGATTGGCTACTACTTTCACTTTACACCTTAAAATAGAGCCCCATGTTATAGTTTCTAGAACAACTTTCCTAAATTTTAAGAATAACCCACATGAAAATCTAGCAGATCATAGAAAGATGTATCAAGTCAGACCCAGTTCATTTGTCTGTTAAGTAGAACAAAAGGTCCTTCTGAAAGATGTTTTATTATTCCAAATTTGTTCAAATGAGCCCTTGGAGGTTGTTACTTCACCTACTTGCTAGATGGGTTAAAAAACTAGTGACTAAATTAGCATTAAGAATTTTGCTCTTACAGAGAATAGACTGCAGTAACCTGGAAATATTTTCAAGTATAATCTCACCTCAAATCCTAAATATTACCTCCTCTGAATATAAATGCCGCCTTACACCAATCTGATGACATACCCTAAAATCAAATATTTGTAAAGCTGTTAAGGGCAATGACTCTCCTCAGTATTCCGATTTCCAAGTACTATCTTTTTGCAACTGTAAGCTAATTTATGAGCGAGACAGTATTTCATACCACTGTATCCATAAGTAACAGCTAAAATTTCTGTTACAGCTGAGCAACCCCTCATGTAAGCAGTTTAATCAGAAAGCAGAGAAAGCAATGTAAAAATAATTCACTTAGTGAGCTGGTTATTTCTACTGAGTGGAGCCACCCAGAGGCTGGGAGGGACTTCCACCAAAGCAACAGTGACTATTGATATCTATCGTCTCTCTTCTCAGTCTATTAAAACAGGCAGTTTGGAAATACCAGGGAATTTCTCCCTCTCATTTAGGAGTAGCATATAATCACAAAAACATAAACAGCAGAAAAGAACAATTTGTCTGTTAGCTTGTCAGGTTGCAAAGAGACAATCTGTATAACCACTTTGTAAATACTTCACTGGAGTTTGTCCCACATTTACTTATGTTTTAGGTAATGCATCTAGAAAAATGCCATGTATGAAATAATACCTGCACTCGAGGATGATCTAGCTTTTTGGTTTTCAGCTGACTTACTGCCATTAAACAAAATTCATATAAAAAGAATAACAGGAAGCATTGCCTCAGAATCTAGATCCCAAGTAAGTAGACCAACAGTTCTAATTACAGCGCAAATAACAACTTAATCCTTTTGGAATGGAAGAGGCTTCCAGGGACAGAAAGACAAACCTTAGAATTCCGGCTCTGGTTGGCTACTGTTGCCATAAGCCAACAGGAGGCAATAACACATTACACCAAGGAGTTCAGCAACAGTCCCCGATTAAGAGGCGCCATCAGGGCCATTCCAAGATTGGCAGGGAATGTGCGTGCTGGTGCCCGGCCAGGGACTCCTTCGCTTCCGTGGAACAGTAGCCCTGGATGTTTCCAAGGCCATTTCTCGACCGACTTGCCCCAAGAAATGGACAAGACTCAACTTGTTCCCCTTATCCACAGCCCGAAGAGGGGTGTTAAATCTGGAAGAGCTCGAATTACCAGGTGGCCACTGAGGAAGCAGGGTGGGGCAGGGAGTCGGCGTTCTCACCTAACAGTTTTGCTCCAGCCCCCGCAGGGCTGCAGCTCTTGGACAGCCCCCTGATAGTCGCCGCTCGGCTCTCACCGCGCACACGGGGCCCGCCCGTGGCGCCCCCTCTCCACGCCGCAATCACGGGTTCGCACCGCGCCTTCAGTCAGGCGCGGACGCCGAGGCCATTTTGTTTGAGGCGCGGGTCCCGACCGCGGAGCACAAAGGTGGCTTCACACGGCTCCTGTACCGCGCTAGCCCCCCCAAGAGCTCCCGGCTGAGACTGTTAGCAGCCCCGCCTACCCCACGCCGGCCGGCTCTGGTGGCGACCACGCCGCCGCCGCCGCGCCCAGCCAGTATCCGACTCCGCAGTGACACGCGCAGCCCTCGCCCCACCCCGGGCCACGTCTCCAGCTCCCCGGGCGGGCCGCTCTCTTTCCGCCAAACAAAGGGGGCCCCGGGATGCTGTGGAGCCCGCCGGGCTCGGACCAGACGCGCCAAGGGTGGAGACGGCAGTCACAAAGCTGCTTTTGTGCCGCTTCGCCCGTCCCTCTGCGGCGGCGTTTACCACCCCCGCCCGCCTCGCTGGGCCGGCCCCACCAACCCCACCGCCCCGGGCTCGACAGGGGCGAGGTCGCCGGTGCCTCCGCAGTCAACCGCCAGCCCGTAATCCCCAGTGTCCGCTTCCCGGCAGTTAGCCGCCACCGGCCGGAACAGGACGGTAGTCTGGCTCCCCTCCCGCCAGGGGTCCACCGAAACTGCGGGCCGGCGCAGCGTGCAGCGGACGGCAGGCACTGAACAAAGGCGACGGCGGGGATGGGAGGGGGGCGGTCTTGGAGTCTCGGCCCGCGAGGCGGCGGCACGACGGATACTCACAGGAATATGTTTACTCATTGAAGATTGTGGCCTAATCATACAGCCGGTCCCGAGGCGGCGGCGACACAGATGGCAGAGGTGGCAGCGGCAGCAGGGCAGGGGGTGGCGGTGGTCGTGGTGGCGCGGCGAAGTCTTCGCAGACAGCGACGGCGGTACCAGACTCTACCATGCACTGAACAGCTCCGAGAAGACAGCGTAGCCAAGCCGGGCCGCAGTCGACGGAGCCAATACGCGCGCCGAGGCGCCTTTGCGTCACACACCCTGCATTTTATAGCCGGCGCAACGTGCGAAGCCCAGGCCACCAATCACGGCCCCGGGTCCCCGCCAAGCGGTGATGAGCGGGGGCGGAAGTCCGCCTCCGGCGGACGTCACAGCGCGGCGGCTGCTGCCGGTGTGAACCGGTTGATGAATGGCGGGGCGCTCCTGTGCGGGGGAGGGGGAGAAAAGCCTAAGGAGATGCGGGTCGATTCAGGCTAGGGTGGAAAAGGGCTCGCGCCTCAAACCCTGTTTCTTATTAAAACTACTGAGAAGTGCAGACATCATATGGGAGGCTGGAAGTTTGCCTCAGACTTAAAATGCAATTCTTTTAGGGCTGGAACCGTGTCTCAGCCTTGACCCTGCTTGCTTCTACCCTAAGTCATTACCACGGTTGTGTTTTCCAGCCGTTTACCTTGGCAATGTGCCCCCTGCGATCTCCGTCATCAAATAACCTTTATGTCGCATGATCATTGTACCCGATGACTCAACACCTTTAAAGCCCCCGCCCGAGGCTCCGACAAGGTAAATACTTGTCTCCGGGGGGCACTGTCAAGCAGTAACTTAACAAAGTTATCCTATATTTGACAGCGAGAGTATTTTGTGATGCAGATAAAACCCTCCGTTCGCTATAGTCGTTTTTGGTCACGTCTCCAATACTACGGACGCTGGCAACTGCAGTTGGCTCAACTGGGGCATTTCGAAACCACATGTATCCTTTATACTGCTGTTCACTTAATGTGTTGTCACAGATAATGAAAGCCTGCTAAAAGGAAGGTTTAAAAGGAATCTTACATTTTGTCAAGGCCTGATGTAATTCTCTTGCGTCAAAGCTAAAGCTTTTCTTTTTGTTCATTTTCAGTCCCGTTGTCCCACTGTCCTCATAATTTAGGCCCTTAAGAAGTAGAGCCTTATCAAAATTGCCCTGTGCTACACAAGGGCAACTCTGTCATTTGCAATCTGAAAACCCTTTCTCCTCTGCTTTCTGGAAGGAGTAAACAGGACTTTTACCTGCTTTGAAGAGCTCGGTTTTCTACTGAACACTGAGGCTTTTTGTTTGCTGTTTTCACTGAGCCGATTAGAGAGGGCCTTAGGGAGAAAATTGTGTTCTTCAGTGTACTGCAGCGTGTTAGGATTTATTAGAACTTCTATTTAGAGAGTGTGGTTGCATAGTTATTCAACTTTCTTATAAACATATACTCTGTAAACAAAGTAAGTGCTTTCAAAAAGAGTTGGCTCAGGTTTTTACAGGAACAAAAGTCTAGTCATCTTAAATTGCTTGTGGAGGAAACTTTTGAACCCATCTGAATCACGAAAAAGTAAAGAGCTTCTTGAGAAAAATATATGTTGCTTCACAGTGAAACTATATAAGGAGTAAGGATTTTAAAATCTTAAGTCCTAAAAAGTATAGGAGGATTAAAAAGAAATCTTCGGGTAGGAGGGGCCTTCCTAAGTAGGTCAGGGAACTCAAGTCAAAAAAGGACAGATTTCATTATATAAAATTTAAAAGGTCTGCACAGTAAAAAACTTTTGACAAAATGAAAATATTAATGTCACATAGAAAATATTGGTGCTGTATCATGAGCAGAATTAACACATAATGACAAAGCTTGACCAACATTTATAACAGTATAGTTAGAAAGCACATTCAGTCAGCCACTCACTACAAAAGTTGGTCAGCACAGTGGTGCTAATTGGAATATGAAAACTTTCATGTAACAACTTTTGAAAAAATGAATTTGGTGGGACAAGATATAAATTCAGCAAATGGTAAGCAGAGCCAAAATCAGTATTAAGGCAGTTTCTTTGTAGAACTTGTGATACAAGTTGCCAGCCCTGTGATCCACAGATCCTATAATTACCGCAAGCCGTGCTGACATGAAGTGTCCAGCCAGTTATGCTCATCAAGTTCTAAAAGCTGCGTTCAAACTCACAAGTGGACTAGTCAGCCTCTAGGGGTCTTAACCTTTCAGATGAGGTACCACCTTTTTTTTTGCTTTAAAAAGGACATAGTTCAAAGATGAAAAACTAGAGAACACTTTTGCTATTGAGAGAAAGGATACACTTTAAACAAGGATTAAGTGTGGTCTTTCTGACCCGCTCACTAAATCCTGGCATGGGCCTGCCACTATGGCAGCTGCCATATTTATGTGTTCTGTGCCATTGTGATTCACTGTTGTGCTGAGGGTGCCTGCTCTACACATCCCAGTAAGTTTTAAGCTGCTGATTCTTAAAAACAGTAGTGCATCCCAACACTTGTCAGGAGACTCTTGTAGTCTGAGGACTTAAAGCTCTGTAGATACGCACTTGGAGCATCTGCACCCATGTTGATTAACAGAGGATCTCCAGACTAAGCCAGCAGACTTGCAAATAGTGGTTCAGACATCCAAGAGTAAGAACACATCACTTTTCAGCCAATGCTCCAGAAGAAACCCTAAGATGGAAGACTTCTCCCGCTAAATAGATGCTCAGCTGGAAGTTACTTCTCAGCAAAACATTGTGCTTGAGCTCACATGGAAAGCAGGACTTTTTAAAAAACAATTTTTTTGATTGTGCTATTACAGTTGTCCAGTTTTCCCCCCTTTATTCCCATCTGCCCTGCACACCCTCTCCCACCCACATTTCCCCCCTTCAGTTCATGTCCATGGGTCGTACATGTAAGTTCTTTGGCTTCTACATCCCCATACTATTCTTACCCTCCCCCTGTCTATTTTCTACCTACCATCTATGCTACTTATTCTCTGTACCTTTCCTCCCTTTCTCCCCTTCCCCCACTGATAACCTTCCAGGTGATCTCCATTTCTGTGATTCTGTTCTTGTTTTAGTTGTTTACTTAGTTTTTTTTTTTAGGTTCAGTTATTAATAGCTGTGAGTTTGTTTTTTTACTGTCCATAGATTTTATCTTCTTTTTCTTAGATAAGTCCCTTTAACATTTCATACCATAAGGGCTGGGTGATGATAAACTCCTTTAACTTGACCTTATCTGGGAAGCACTTTATTTACCCTTCCATTCTAAATGATAGCTGTGCTGCATAGAATAATCTTGGGTGTAGGTCCTTGCCTTTCCTGACTTGGAATACTTCTTTCCAGCCCATTCTTGCCTGTAAGGTTTCTTTTGAGAAATCAGTTTATAGGCTTATGGGAACTCCTTTGTAGGTAACTTTGCTTTTCTCAGGCTGCTTTTAAGAATCTCTCTTTATCTTTAATCTTGGCTAATGTAATTATGATATGCCTTGGTGTGTTCCTCCTTGGGTCCAACTTCTTTGGGACTCTCTGAGCTCCCTGGACTTCCTGGAAGTCTATTTTCTTTGCCAGATTGGGAAGTTCTCCTTCATTATTTGTTCAAATGAGTTTTCAATTTCTTGGTCTTCCTCTTCTTCTTCTGGCACTCCTATGATTCAGATGTTGGAAGATTTAAAGATGTCCCAGAGGTTCTTAAGCCTCTGCTCATTTTTTTGAATTCTTGTTTCCTCATTTTGTTCTGGTTGAATTTTTTTCTTCTTTCTGCTCCAAACCGTTGATTTGAGTCTTGGTTTCATTCTCGTCACTGTTGGTTCCCTGTAGATTTTTCTTTATTTCACATAATGCTACCTTCATTGCTGCCTGGGTCTTTTTTATGCTGTTACAGTACACAGTTAGTCCCTAACAGGGAGCATCCTGATAACCAGTATAACCAGTGTTTTGAACTGTGTATCTGATAGGTTGGCTATCTTTTCATTGCTTAGTTATATTTTTCTGGAGCTTTGATCTGTTCTTTCATTTGGGCCTTTTTTTTTTTTTTTTTGTCTTGGCACTCCTGTTACTTAGTAAGGGGCAGAGCCTTAGGTGTTCACCAGGGTGGGGCAACCCTCATGGTTGTGTTGTCTGGGAGGGGACTGAGAGGGAACAGTGCCCCTTGCTCCACTCTCTGCTGACTTTCAGTCACTTCCCCCACTACCCACAAGCACATTGGGCCCTTCTGGTGCAGATTCCTGGGTGGGTGGGCTTGTATACATTCTGGGACCCTGTGGGTCTCTCTAACTTTCCTGTGAAGTTGGGAGTTTCTTCTGCTGCTGCCTCAACCCCCACAGGTGTTTCCAGTCAGAGGCTTTGAGGCTTTATATCTCCAAGCTGGAACTCTGGTTGCACAGCCTGTCTCGCTCCCCAGTTCTTCTTCCCAGTTATCTGCATGCAAATGTGGGACTTGGTCCACCAGCTGCTGCCTTGCCCATGAAGGGCAGGACTTTTCATCAGCATGTTCAAAATGTAAAAGCAAACAGAGAGAGATATGGAAGACTGTTGAAAGCATTATGAAGAAGGTCTCTATAGAAGATGAAACACTGTGGAAAACAACAAATCAACAAACCCTAGTGATGAAGGAAAATCCTTACAAAGACAACAGATCTAGTAAACATTGAATGATTCCAGTTATACCACACATATCAAAGGAATGGAGGATTTTATTCCTTTCATTCTGCTCATATTGTTTAGGCTCTAATCTTTAGGCTATGAATAGTCAGTGGGGGTTATGAGGAAGTGTGATAAAAAACATTAATATAGCAATAGTATTACTATAGCAATGAAGAAAGATCAAATGTGACAATACCAACCCAGGAAACCATGCCCCCCACCCCTCACTAGATTGCAAGGTATAAATGTGTCAAGTGTACTTAGTAGAGGCAAATACCACAGTGGGTTTCTGGATACTAGTGCAAGGGTGATCTTAGGTATATTCCCTTTAAAAATTCAGGGATACAACCATGGTTCATATGAACATTATGAAAATTTACTATCCTTTTGGTATTACAGAACAGCCTTGTTTATGTTATATTAAAAATTACTCTTGTGTGATTGTGAAAAAAATGTTTTAGAAATATAGTGTATACTTACTGTGAACATATAATTTTTAGTGTGTAAATTTAAAACTAAAGTATGCTCTATGTTAAAATGTGACTTAGTTTTCTTCCATTAAGAC